TTTTAGCTAGACGATCTGTATGTTATAGTAAATTAATTTTAAAAGCCTATGCTCAAAGTTTGTTATTGGTCTTGCGAAATAAAATTATGTGTACCATATAAAAATAGAGCATTACCCTAGTTCAGCGACCTGATCAACAATATATATTTACATACTCTATTTTGCGCTGGGAGATTTGTGTATGTTTTGTAAATGAACCGCATATTTTCTTAATGTTTGTATACAACCGCATATTCAGACTCATAATGTGGCTTTACTTATTTTGAATGAATTATTAATCTTAGTTTACCTGATTTGTGTCGTTTATAGATAGTGAAGATTGTTCTGGTGACGATGCAGCTGTGCCTGTTCGCTCACTCGCGGTATAATCACATCAACTATACCTGGGACAATCGCATCGCATTCTCGCACCTGTTTCTCAAAGGCTGGGACTCGTCGCGTGAAGTTGAGAGCTATCCGCCCGCCGTGGGACCTTTTGCGTTGTACGAGAAGACCGAGTTTTTCAATACGGTTCAGTTTGCGGTGGACGGGTACGGCAATATGAGCCGTTCCATTGGACCCTACTATTATCCCACGGCGAATAATACTATGCCACCGTTGACGCTGTGCATGCAGAACTATCGTGAGGGCACAATTTTCGGGTTTAATGAATCCTATATCTTTGATCCGCATATCGATGAGCTGTGCGAGAAGCTGCCACCAAATGTGTCCAGCATTGGGGTGCAGAAATATTTAAGCGATCAGGGAGTCGATGTCAATTTCGCATCGCTGGTAACAGCCGAGCTGACGTTTAAGATAAAAACGGTCAATTTTAAGGCCAACGGCGGTGCGTTGTCTGCTCCCGATTGCTTTAGGTTCGACGTATCCATACTGTTTAACAATCGGGATCACGATGGCCAAGTGCTGTTATCCCTGGATGCGGAGGCGACGCGATTGAAATGCAAGGGCGACACGGATTTCATTTCGGAAGCACGCTTCGATGCGATATTGCGAAGTATTCTTAATATCTTTGTGCTACTGACCTGCGCTTTATCCTTTGCCCTCTGCACTCGAGCGCTCTGGCGAGCTTATTTGCTGAAGTGCACCACAAAGAACTTCTTCCGTTCACATTTCGGCAAAGAACTCAGCTTTGATGGTCGTCTGGAGTTTATTAACTTTTGGTGTGTAAAATTCATGGCATCTATTCGATTTCATTTGATTAATGTTTCGTTTATCTTGCAGGTACATTATGATCATCTTTAATGATGTTTTGCTTATCATTGGTTCGGCACTGAAGGAACAAATCGAAGGCCGTTATATGGTTGTGGATCAGTGGGATACCTGCTCGCTATTTCTGGGCATTGGCAATATGCTGGTGTGGTTTGGTGTGTTGCGCTATTTGGGCTTCTTCAAGACCTACAATGTGGTAATACTCACTCTCAAGAAAGCAGCTCCGAAGATTCTACGGTTTCTAATTGCCGCTCTGCTCATCTATGCGGGCTTCGTATTCTGCGGCTGGCTCATATTGGGGCCCTATCACATGAAGTTCCGATCGTTGGCAACGACCTCCGAGTGCCTGTTTTCGCTGATCAATGGCGACGACATGTTTGCCACATTTGCGACCCTCTCCAACAAGGCCAACTGGCTTTGGTGGTTCTGTCAGATTTATTTGTACTCTTTCATTTCATTATATATCTATGTGGTGCTATCACTGTTTATAGCTGTTATTATGGACGCATACGATACAATTAAGAAGTACTATAAGGATGGATTTCCCATCTCCGATCTCAAGGCGTTTGTGGGCACTCGCACCGCCGAGGATATTAGCTCTGGTGTATTCATGAACAATCTGGATGACTTTGAGCAGACCAATTTTCTAGATATTGTGAGAAGCGTTTGCTGCTGCAGCTGCTGCAAACGCCGTTCAGAACCCACCCAAGGCAACAGCGGTTACACAAGCCTATCTAGTATTATGAAATAGTTTGATGCGCCATAGTATTTGCGGGTGTTTTGTTTTTATAACTTGTAGTTTAGTTCCAAATGTTGTTAAGCTTGTTGTATTTTGATTTTACTTTCTCTTTTTTTTTCGCCAAAGCATGAGCCCGAACGTACGTACTCTGAGAAATTTCTATAATCAAACTGCCAGCTACTAAGTGAAACCATTTTTTTTTTCCAAATCCTACAATGACGAGACGCGCGGCTGGCAAATTTAGCTAAGTTCAAAGATAATTTTTGATTCGAAACATTAGAGATATTATGAAAACAGAAAAAACAAAACCAACCAAACATCTGTGTGTGATATAAGACAGAACAATAGAAGTAATACTAGCATGGGAATTTGATTGCTATATATATATATATATATATATATATATAAATGTATATATATGCGGCTTGCATCGAGATCTTCCATGTGTACAATATATCCAAACGAGTTTACGTACAAATAAGAAAGTCACTGGGTTATCCAATTACAATATTCAATTGGATAATCCTATAAGTTTAATCTATTTATGTTTACAATGAAACGCTTGTAAAATATCCAAAAATATAACTGTTGAATCCGTTTAAACCTTTGATGTTTTTTATTCAAATTAGAATTGACTTAAACCAAAGTATGAATGACTTTGGACCCAGCCTTTGCATATCTAACCATATTTAGTAGATGCCAAAAAATGTAGCCCTTGTTTTGTATATGAAAATATTTATGGTATACAATATTTTCAGCACAACGGGCAATTATAGTTTATAAATTGACTTACGATTTTTTCAAAAACTTCAAATGGCCATAACTTGATGAAAAGACGGCCGATCGCGGAAAAATTGGGCGTTTTGTAATCGTTGAGGTCCTTAGAATCGAATTGCATCAAAAGATTTCATTTCCAGGATAAAGTCCATTTTCGCCAAAAACGTGATGTAACCCCTTGCCACTTTGGTCAATCTTGGACATCTTTCGGAATCAGGATTTTTGAATGCGAATCGAAGGTCCTGTCCTGTACAAGTCGAAAGAGGTATATCACTTCGATATCGAGCGGAAAATAACCGAGATATTCAAGTTTTAAGATGTTTTAATTGCTGGATAAATCTCATGTTCGAGAAAATACCAAAGCTTGAACCTAATTCCATTATATTAAATGGAATACGCTTAGAGTTCATAAAAAATCAATTTCTTGTGTCAATCGTATTTCTAATGTCCTGGACTGGAAATAAATGTTATTCAGCATTGCCAATAAATGGAAGGTACGACTGTTATCACCTTTAATAGCCCATTGACCATTTCATTAATCGGCAGGGGAAAGAAACCTCAACCCATAGCAGAGGATGAAAATCGAACTTTTATGTTAGATTTTATTTTAAATGGTTTCCTTTTGTCAATTACAAATGTATTTAATATTATTTGCGTCTATTGTTGGTTGTTTTTGTATACTTTTTTTTTTTGTTATTTGGTTTTTGCTTTTTGCTATATTGTTGTTTTTGTTGCTGTACTTAACGAATTTTAGTGACATTTTAGACGTGCATCAAAATCGTTGCACAATTTACAACGCTTTGTTTTGTTTGGTTTAATTTGTTATTTAACTGCATTTTCTTTTGATTTAAAAAATGTTTTGTTTGTTTGTAAATAAAATAATATCTGCATTATTTGTATTGTTAAAGTATTTAATGCCGTTCATTGCGTTTTTTTTTGGTTTTCGTTAAATATATATAAATATGCATTGTATATATAATTTTTCTTCTGTTTTTTGTTTTGTTTTGTTTTAATATTTATTTATGTTTTTAAATTACATTTCACAAAATACAATTCACAACTACACTTGACGTCAAGTTTCTGGTTTCTGTGTAACTTCAACTAATCCATCAATCACCCAGCTATTTTCCACGCTCTTCGATCTCAACCCAAATCCATTATGAGAAATATTTGTTTATTTTAATCTTAATTTTCAATTTTCATTTTTCATTGGAAAAAATTAAAAAATCGTATACATTCGCAAATTGCAATCAATTTATGTTCATCAATTTAGAAAATTAATTTTCAATCACAAAAAATCAACGTAAAATGGATTAAGAATATTAATCTGTTTTTCGTTATTTTTTCTTTTTTTTTTTACATTTGCCATTTGACATATCGTTTACGTATATTCGTTACACTTTTTAGCCTTTAATAAATAGTATATTTTTTGTTATTATTCATTATGATAAAAGCGTTAACTATTTACGCCCCAAACTAAAATTTTAAATGCCGAAATGCTGAGATCTCTTTGCAGACACCTCAAACATTTGCCATTTCCAAACTAAACGTTCTACTACTAATATTCTTAATGTTATTTTTTTTTTGTTCGTTTTGTTTTATATTTTGTTTATTAAGCTTATTAACAACATCGAATAGTACGCGTATTTTTTGTATTTGTGTTTTTTTTTTTTATTGTTTTTGTTTTCAATATGTATGTAAGTATATTAAACATTGTACGTCGTGTAGAGAAATTTGCTAATTAATGTTTACTTTTTGGTTTTCGTTCTTTGTTCTTTTGTTCGCTTAACTTGGAGAGCTTCGTTTTTATGATACGTATAAGTGTAGAGGGTTTCTTGTAAATGCTAAATGCTAAATATCAACAGAAGTGCAACTAAATAAATAAATCAAGCAAACAACCTCATTGAAGGTTCCAAGCTGAAATAAAAATTACTTACTTTACGCAACAACTCAAAATAAATCAAAAACAAGAACTCATAAGTTTGTAGATAATTTTTTTGTTTTTTTTTTTTTTTTTGTGGTAACTTTAATTACATTTGTTGAATTTTTTCGGGTTTTTTATTTGTTTCTGTTTATAGAAATAGTTATAGTTACTAAAACATTACATATAGAGTTGCTATATATATTATAATATATTTAATTATATGATTTTTGTTTTTGTTTCGTATGTGAAATTGGTTTCAAAATGCCAACAGTTAAATTGTTGGTTTTCCATTCATATATTTATATAAATGCATATATGCAAATATTAAATATTCAATAAAAATACAATAGATTTAATGCATGAAAGATATTATGCTTGTTTTGTTTGTTTGGGTTTCGTTTACAACTAACAATTACATTTATTTGATAATCTTAGATCAATTTTTTTACTTTTTACAATTTTCCTTTGCTCTCTTTAAATGCAAAAAACGCCCTCCATTTGGCTGCATTAGAAGTTGGCATAATTTTGTTTATTTGCTTCTTTTTTTAAAATTATTTTTCGTTAATTTCTTTGCTTTACTGTTGGGAGGTTTTTGTAAAAATTAAATTCAGTTTTTGAGCTTAAATGCAGCGCTGCCTTTGACGCTAAAATGCAAATTACTTTTATGTATTTTTGTTTTGTTTTTTTTTTTTTTGGGTTTATAGTTTAGGATGTTAAGTTATAAAAAAAACGATTACAAACTAAGCGCAATTTGAAAATATTTACAAAAAATAGTGCTGGGTAATGGCTTAAGTTAGATTAAATAATTTACAAATGCTTTTGCAACACTGTGCGCCCCAAAAAAACGCACTTCCACACTTTTTTTCAATGCGAATTCGAAATGTGTATGTTTTTATATATATAGGTATATATATATATATATATATGTAGTATATATAAGGTTAAGGTTAATAGTTTAGTTGGTTTGATTAAAAGTTACTTGTAATTTCGAAATATGGCTCGTGGCTCTGACTTGGCAGTGTGAGGGGGCAGAGTTGTTATGCTTTTCGCTTTGCTCTCTCTTTTTGTATGGTATTCTTCTATGTTTTAAATGGTATTTACTTATCGTTTCGTTTTCTCAGTCTATTTCGTTGAAGAAACTAATGGAAAGAACCAAAGAAAAGCCGCTCCAATGGCTGCAGAACACACGCGCCTCCGGTTTCTCGTGCTGCACGAGAGCCTTTTCCACTCTCGATCTCCTCGCTCGCTCTTGTCTTTGTTGTCGTCGTTGTTGTTGGTAATATTTTAAGGGCTTTTCGGACTAGAATCTTATGCAAATAGTTTAAAATCTGTATTGCGCCTTTCTCTAAACAAAAACTACAGCTACAAATATTAATATGGCATTGCTCTTAAACCTCTGAGAAAGTGTGACAGGTAAGCAGAGATTGGTAATCAGAGAGAGAGAGAGGAGAGAGTGAAAGAGAGGAAGAGTGAGAGGGGGAGAGAGAGAGAGTGTGTCCGGTGAGAGGGGAAACTGCACTCTTACAGCTGACTAAAGCTGCTTGTTGAGACCCAGTGCGCGGTGTCCGGGCGTACCATTAACTATATGGGACCGTAGTCGCTCAACGCCTGCCCCGGATGCTGGGAGCCGGGTCCGCCGGGCAGGGTTACCACCACAGAAACGGCTCGTGAATCGATAACGGAGCCAGGCGCTGTGCTCTGCCCGCCACCGCCAACACCACCACCAACACCACCGCCACCGCCGCCGCCACCATTGACATTGCCGTAGACATTGACGGGTGGGCCGCCGTTGGCGCCACCGCCTTGTAACAAGCTGCCAGGAGGAGCTCCCATGCCAGACATACCGCCGCCGCCAACCGTACTATTGCTCATGCCCGCCGTGCTCATCAGTGTGCCGTGACCACCCAGCACGCTGCCGCCACCCATGGTTGAAGCTCCTCCCGACTCTCCATGTCATACATGGCTGGCCGCCGGCTGCTTGAGAACATGGTGGTGCAAATGGTGGTGGCTCGTGGAGGCCACCGAGGCACCGCCCGCCTGTGTGTAGGGCGTGGCCAGCAGAGAGCCCGCCGCCGAGCCAACGGGCATGCCCATGCCGGAGCCCGCGTACGGATGCGGAATGGGCGGCCTTTGTTTGATCAGTGCCTGATTGGCGCCCGTGCGATCTGGCGCACCGAACAGTCGCCGCCAGAAGCGTCGCCAGCTCTCAAGGGTCTTGCCCGACCAGATCCATACGCCCGACGTGATGCCCACGGCCAGTGCCATGAAATACTTGAGCATTAGCACGGAATAGAGCGGCTTCTTGCCGGGTCCTTTAACCTGTGCACAGGGACAAGCCAAGGCCTTGATCCAATCCTCGAAGTAGGCTGCTTCGTACAGATAACATCCGATGACAATTGTCGCCGGCACGGTGTACAGCACCGAGAAGATGCCGATGCGTATCATGAGCTTCTCCAGTTTGTCTGCCTTGACGCCGGCGCCAACGCCGCCCTGTTGCTTGATCACCGAGCGAATCCTGAAGAGCGAGACAAAGCCGGCCATGAGGAAGGTGGTGCCAATGACGAGGTAAACGAACAGCGGTGCCAGCACAAAGGTCTTCAGATGATCCGGATTCAGATTGCCCACATAGCAAATGCCCAGAATGGGATCGCCATCCACGGCGGAGAGCAGCAGCACGGCAACCGATTGCACCGTGGGTATTAGCCAGGCGGCCAAATGGAAGTACTGCGAGTGCTTGGTGATCGCTTCGTTGCCCCACTTGAGGCCGGCAGCCAGGAACCAGGTGAAGCTCAAGATGACCCACCAAATGGACGAGGCCATGCCAAAGAAGTAGGTGAGCAGAAAGACCAGAGTGCACGAGTGCGGACCCGTTGAGCTCTCCCGCAGCAGGCGTCCATCGCAGGCGATCTCCTCGTTCTGGAGGAAGTTGCGGGACAAATAGCCGACGGCGACCATGAAGTAGCAGGCGGACAGAAAGACAATGGGACGTTCCGGGTACTTAAACCTTTCGGTGTCTATGATGAATGTGGTTAGGGTCATGAGGGTGCTGCAGAAGCACAGGCCCGACCACAGGGCGATCCACAGGCCGGCGAAGTCCTTTTCGTCGTTGGTGAAGAACGGACCCTTGCAGGGTATGGCGCAGTTTTGTACGCCGGCGATCCTTTGCACAGTTAGATTCATGTACCAGTGATGGTGCAGCATGGGCGACTGTTGCATGAGCTGTTCCTTCCCCAGGACGATCAGCGGCGAGCGGCACGAGCACGTGCACTCCTTTCCGTTTGCCTTTTCTCCTAGGGGATTTTGGCAGTTTTTTGAATTCTTGCCCTTGCACTTGTTCGCTGTCGCCGACGAGCCACCGGCTCCACCGCCCTGCTTGCGCTTGCCGCCAGATCCGCTGCCGGAACCGCTGCTGCCACTGCCGCCGCCGCCTCCGGTTCCACTGCCTGCTTCCGTATAAGATGGCTGCTCCATGCACAGGTTCTCGGGATCGCCATGCAGCGGCAAGTGCTCGCAGGCCATCCGCTCCGGCCACTCGAAGCTGTACTGCTGCATGATGGGCGCACAGCCGGAACGGGCACGTTCACAGACGCTGCGGCAGACTGGGAGAGGCTTGTGGTATTCCTCCAGGCAGATGGGCGTGTACATGCTGCAGAGGAAGAACTTAAGGTCCGGTGAGCATTTGATCTCGACCAGCGGCCAGAATTGGTGCACCTCGAGGCCCGCCTCGTCTTGCGTCTCGTGGTTCATTTCGTTGGGGAACGATGTCATATTGTAGCCAATGCCGCGGCACATGGGCGTCGTGATTTCCTCGCAGCGTGAGTTCGGATCCTTCGGTATGACCGGCACACCGTAGCCGGGCGCCGGACTCACGTCCATCGAGTGCGAGTGCGATCCCATACCCATGTGTCCGCCTCCTCCGTTGTCCGTCATGTGCTGTAAGCTGTCCGCCCGGGCGACGGCCGTTAGCAGCAGCAGCGTTGCCAGACTTAAAATGTGTCTCATTGTTGTGCGTAGCTGTTAGCTTTTGTCAATGTGTGCGAGTTACAACTCTGCGTTCTATTGCTATCTCTTTCTCTCTCTTTCACACACGATTCGCTTATTTCCTGTAAGCGTTTGGAGTGAGCCGAACTTTCTTTTCAAGGATTCCCTTCTGCACAGCGTCAAATTGTCAACGCTTGACAAACGGCGTGGCCTAGCTGTAATTATAAAAAGGGAAAGGGTACGAATTAGAAAGGGTAAATAAGTAAATAATTATTATTAACCAAGTTTATTTTGGTTAAAAAATCCTATGGTCCTTGGCTTAAAGCCTGTCGAGCTGGTGAACAAACCGGAATCATGTTATTAGTTAATGTAAGGACGAGCTTTAAATGGAGTCCAGCCTATATTTGGTATTTTTCATTCCAAAAAATCGAAATAGGTCTAGACCTAAGCACAGCCAAAATTTCACTGAATTTCACAATCTAAATTTCAACTAAATGTTGCAGAGATGGGAATAAATTGTTGCTGTCGAGCTGCTGATGAGGCGTCGACAAGTTGCAACTGCTCTTTCCTGTTTTGTTGCGCCCCTTCTCGTTGTTTTGCGCTTCATTTGTTTCAATTGGAGCGACACTTGGGCGACATCGAAATGTCACATGTCAACCCTTCCGCCAATATTTGCTGACGCTGCTGGGCTTGGAACTGGAACCCAATGGGCAATGGGCAATGGGCAATGGGCAATGGGCAATGGGCAATGGGCAAGTGCTGACCAAGAGGCGCATCAATCAAAATCAGTGATTTTTATTAAATTTGACGGCGTCTGCTGGTCGCCAGCCGTGGAAGCTGCTGATGTACTCAAATCAAAATGTTTGCTGAGCAGGGCAAAACTGGAGTAGGGTGTGAAAATTCACGGGGCAAGCGGCAAAGGGTTGTCGTGCTGCTGTGTGATGAAGCAGAAATTAATTCAAGACAATTGCTCACTTGATGACACACGCACAACTGCCAGCGGCCAGTTGGAGTTCGGGGCAACGTTGCGTGACCAGCGTTGCCACCTGACGTGCGGCAACTGTGGAAACTGTGTCAACTCTGGATATCGATGTCGATGCCAACATTCTGTGGTCTTAACGCAACAGAAAAAGATGCTGTGTGAGAACTCGGGCGAAAATTGACAGCTGGCCAAAAGTGAAGGGCGCTTAAACTTAGAGCCAAGAGATACGCAAGTACAAGTGGCAAGTGGCAAGTGTCAAATGACATACATATTTGTGGCTTTTGTGGGCAGCTCCTGCAGCTCCAGCAATCAGCAGATGCGTGTGGTCCGCTGCAAAAGCTTTAAAGGCAACTAAGCAAAACTGTCAACAGCAGCTGCAAATAGTTGTCTACAAGTCCTTTTTGTCCGACAATGTTGTTGCCTTTATTGTTTTTTAAATGAATGACGTTTTAATTAATAACATTTTGTGCTGCATGTCAACCAACCCCCAGCAACGAGTCTCCCCTTAGTCAGCGCGTCGCTCAAGTGCTTTTTGGGGGGGAAAGGGGCATCATTGTTGCTGTTGCTGCTGCCTGAAACATTTTTCGTGTAAAACTGTTTGCCAAGCACTTCAAAATAATTAAGTAAATAACGCTGCCAAAATGGGAAAATGCCAAGTGTTGTACATTGTTGAAACACAATATGCAAATGTGGGCGTAGCAAATAGTGCAGCGCGTTCGCACAGCTCAGCTATCGATTACAGCATTTCCTGTCAGTGTTGCATAACGGCACGGAAAACCGATCTCGATAACCGATTGCTCCTAGAGATGAGCAATAATCGAGATCTTATCATTGATTCGGTCTGTTGAACTTGCATTCGATTAGAGAAAATCAATTAAGTGCACACCGCTCAATTCCAACTAAAGGCTTACAATACATATGCGCACTCGCCTACATAAATATTGTACATGTGTACACACGCATGTACTTCGCCCCATTTAAATACGTGACCAAAATGGACGACAAGTCCAAAGAAACATGTCAAGCAGCATGGGTAAAAGGAAAAACACGTCCACTTCAACTTTTATAGTATAGTGGATCCAAGGTATGAAAACATTTGTTCGGGATGCCCTAAAAAGAACAACAACACGCCCTTATTATGGTTACCGTTGCCGTTAATATTGTCGTTCTTGTTGTTGTTGTTGTTGTTGTTGTTGCTAAAGTATCAAGTGGCATAGAAGTCACCCATTTGGATTGGTTCGCCCTACGATGATTGCCTACGAACCTTAGCCAACTAATAAGTACGCGCAGTTCTCTACATGTGTTCATGGGAAATGGCTTGGAAATAATAACAAACGTGCCTCGACGTGCCTCTTTCGCAGCTAAACAGAAAATGCATAAATATTTCGTTTAATAGAGAGAGTGCGAGAGAGAGAGAGAGAGAGAGCGGGAGGAAGAGAGAAAATGTCTCAAGTGGACGACAGTCCAGTCGAGGTCCATGGAAAGTGGTAGCTAAATATGTTTGTGTTTGTCTTGGCCCCGATCGGCACTCGCTCGTCCGTTCGTCCATTTGGGCATGGGCATATGGCATGTTTATTTAGTGATTTGTTGTTTCTCGAGCTAAAAAAGCGACTCATATTGTTTATTTAATTGTTTACAAGCGTGCGAGTCGGAGCTTGTTACAAGTAACAAATTATTACCAACAAACGGCAAAACTAAGCCCCATGGTCCCTGCCCAGAGCAGACCGGGCCAGACCCGAGACTTCAAGACCCGGTCGCCGGCATTGCATTCATTTTGCAAATCATGCAGCACAACAAGAAGTCGAGTCTAGAATTTATACAAAATCACGCTGCCAACAAGTCTCAACGATGTTTGCACAAGCTCTCGAACCGAACCAGCCCAAGCTGGCCATGTTTGCCCAAGACTTGAAGGCAAAAGAGCTGGAAGAGAGACTCTGCTGGAGAGATCGCTGGCGATATGCGTGCGTGCGTGCCAAAGCGGTTGGAAATTGGTGAATGGCTGCGCTTCAATGCAGTAAAGAGGCCAGCTCCGGAACGAGCCATGGCCAGCCATCATCAGCAGCATCAGCATCAGCAATGCAGACGTTGGCGGAAGCTGTGACCAAAGTTGGTAGCCAGGCAGGCAACGACAAGCGACAAGCGACAAGCGACAACTACAACTTGGCTGTTTTAATTAAACAAACAAGGCGCAGGAGCAGCCAGCGAAAACGAGTGACAAACAAACATACAAGACAGAGACATACAACAGGTAGCGAGTGATGTTTACTTTATAAACTGGGTACAGTTGACACTCGTTCATGTGCAAATGCGATAACAGTGTTGCGAAATGTAAACACTGGGCGACTAACAGTAAATATATATCGATAAGCTACTATGTTAAGTGTTGCCATCAGAGCCAACTATACAATTTTTTAAGTTTCTTTATGAACCTGAAAGGGGCTATCAGAAACAGAAGCACTTCTCATGGGCTTCTGTTCATGGGCAAATGCTTTAACAGTGTTGCAAAACGTAAACACTAAAAGACTAACAGTAAAAAAACCAAACATAGCACTTTTAAAATGTTACAATTCAACTTTTTGCTATGAACTTGAAAGGCGCTATAAACGAAAAGAACCACTTCCCAACTATTTTACAGGTACAGTTGACCCCCAGACAAAAGCAGACTCTGTGAAGTGGTTGATAAAGAAAGCCGTGATGAGCAATTAGACTATAATCAAGAGCATTCACTTTGGCTGGCGCATATATTCATAGACTTGCGCTAATCGATAACTTATCGCCTGCTCCAATGGAGCCAATCAATCAAAGCGTCTGTAAAAGGGCCTTCATACAAAACGGCTGCCTGAATGTTTGGGCCATGGAATGAAACGAAACGAACTGAAACGAAACGGCACGAAACGGCAAAAACTTTGCAAACCACAGAGCACTTAAACTTTTCTATGGATCGCTGCACACAAAGAAGCGTTGAAGCATCAGCAACAGGAGCAACAACAACAGCCTCACAGAGCACAGGTGCAACAGCTCTCCCTCCCTTCACGCCCCCCCAGGGCAACAAAAACAGAAAAAAAAAAATTGGAAGAAGATGTATACAGCTGGAGTTGGCCTTGGCTTCTGCACAAGCAAAACCGCGAAAATCAATTGAAAAACTCACAGCCAAAGGAACAAAAGTGCAGCGGGAGGAGCAGCTGCATCATTTGTGGGCGGGTGCATGGTAAGTAGAAGGGCTTGGGGGAGCGGGGGGCAGGAGACAGGCAACTGTTTGACTTGTTGGCTCAAAGTCGTCGGCGGCATCAAAAAGCGCGTAGAACGCCGCAAAATGAAAACAGTTTGTCGACTGACGGCCGAGTTGTCGGCGCTGAGCGGGGGGATATCGCAGCGAGGCGGCGGCGCAATGAAAAATGAAAAACTTTGCCCGGCAGTCGAGCTGGCGCACGGCACAGCTCACCTGCCCCCGCAACCGCAAAGTCAATGCAGACAAGTTCCATGACCTTACAAACGCAGCAGAAACAAATACTGTAAGCAACTGCCACAGCTGGCACACGGCATGTCCTGTGTGTTGTGGCTCGATTTCAGATGGGGGCCTCGTGGGTTGGTTTGCTTTTAGTCCTGTGCGAATGTTGGCGAACGTCAAAACGTAATAAACAAAACTGGCTCAAGAATTTTACGCGTCCGCGTCCGCGTCCGCCCATTAAAATCATTGACATTTAAATGCGCATTTGTTGTGACTCTGCCGCCGCCAGAGGGCGCCAGGATACACTTTTGCTACTTTTGAGGCTTGCTTAGAATGGCTGGCGAATTCGAGAATTCGCCCAGTTGCAGAGTTGATGCGGAGTTTGGAGTGGCCCTCTGCAGGCTTTTGCGCTTTGATGTTTTGTATTGTGTGTGTGTGTGTGTGTGTGTGTGTGTGTGTGTGTGTGTGTGTGTGTGTGTGTGTGTGTGTGTTGATGCTGCCTTTGTTGCTTTGTGCGGTGCATACAAATTGAATGTGTGTGTGTCTGTGTATTTGTGTAGCGCCCACTGGCGGAAAACAGCAGCAACGCTGGCTATCATTAAATGCTCTTTGGCTCAAAGTTGCCGTTGTAACTGTTGTTGTTTTCATTTTTTTTTTGTGCTTTACAATTAAATTTTAATTAAGTGGACAGAAGGATTTATCTTCCTCTCGCTCTTGCTCTTGCGCTGCCGCTCTTTAGTTTGTATTTCGAATGTTGCCCGCCCTTTCAACTCCATTGAGCTTTG